CTAGACCAGGTTGCTCAAAGCCTCATCCAGCCTGGCCTTGAAGACATCCAGGGATGGGGCATCCACAGCTTCTCTGGGCAGCCTGTTCCAGTGCCTCACCACCCTCTCCATGAAGAACTTCTTCCTGATAGCTAATCTAAACCTCCCCACTTTCAATTTAAACCCGTTCCCCCTTGTCCTGTCACTACAGGCCCTTGTAAAAAGTCCCTTCCCAGCTTCCTTGTAGCCCCTTCAGGTACTGTCCTAAAACAGGCAGATTTGGCTATGTGAGATAATTGGAAATACTTCTTTCTTTCATCTTTATTATTAGTTTGGTTTTGATTTTCCTGCATTTATTAATCTGGCAGTGGTGAATCCAGTGAAGGAAGTTAACCCTTCCCCATGAAATGCACAGGTAATTTAGGTGTTTAAATTATGAATAATTTTACTCTCTTAACTATGTAATTATTTATAGGCTCTGCTATGAAAAGGGTTTTTTTCAATCTGGATACCCCGGATTAGACCAAATAAAGCAAATACCAGTAACTCATTAAATATCTTTTGTTTTCACTATGTGGTGAACAAAGTACCAGAATGGTATCAGAAAATAATCTATTTTAACTTATATCTGACAGCATCCCTTGAAGATAATGTCATGAAAACTATTTTTGTTAGATCCTTGAATCCTCACCCCATAACACTGTTTCACTGTTTATACTTAAAATATTGTATGAGAGGGGAAAAAAAAAAAAATTTGAAGCCCTAAATTTCTATAAAGCTGTCAAATACATTTGAGAATGGGAGAGCCAGCCTTTCAGAAAACTCTTAGAACACATTGGTGTGATTTGTAAATACAGTATAGTAATTGTTGAAGACAATGTATACAAAAACTGAGAAGTGGAGTTTACTGTGTACTGTAAAAAAATTACTCAAGAATATAATTTTGTAACTCAATAATCTTTCACTGTTTGAATAAGAGTTTAATATGTGGGAAAACTCTAAAGAAAAATCATCCAGTACTACACAGAGAAACATTATACTATGTTAGACTGAACATTTGTGAATGTTTAGAAGTAATTCACAGGTAGTAATCTAATCGCTGATAGCCACTAAAACAGTATTTTACCAACACATAAGTTAAATACATCTACAGGAAACTACTTAAATACTTCCTTTTTGGCCTTTAGTAACAATAATTTGACATATCTACTTTAAAATAGTCCTAAATTTTTATATTAGACATATGAAAAAAACCAAACCTGTCATTTTATAGTGTCAGTACCAAAATATTGAACACTGATATCTGGATACCACTCAGCAAGCCAGGATTCCTGCCTTCTTTTTTTGTTTTGTTTTAATGAGAGAGACTATTGAAGCTAACACACAAGTTTTATTTCACATTTTTATTAGAAAAAATAATATGTATTGTCATGCTTGAATTGTGTGGAAAATTAGAGATTTATCACATGACCAAAGAAACAAAACCCACAGAACATAATACCTGCCTCTTTTCTGGATCCTGACCTGGCTTTGCCAAGTATTTTTTTGTGCTACAGAATATTTTGCGGTCCTACATGTTCTGAGCAAGAAGTTATTCTTAAAAAAAGAAACCAGTTGATTTCAGGTATAGGACAGGAATGATCTAAGTTTGATCTGGTGACTAACGAAGAACAACTGGAAGTTGTGAACACATTCCAGTGGTAATCCATATCATCTCATATTACTTCTGACATGTAGTACAGCAAATTCTAACCTGCAACTTCTGTAAAAAGGGGCAGTAGTTTTAAAATCAAAAGAAGGCAGGTTTAGATTGGACATAAAGAAGTTCTTCACGGAAAGGGTGGTGAGGCAGTGGAACAGGTTGCCCAGAGATGTTGTGGGTACCTCCATCATTAACAGTGTTCAAGGCCAGGCTGGATGAGGCTTTGAGCAACCTGGTCTAGAGGAAGGTGTCCCTGCCCATGGCAGGGGGGGTGGAACTAGATGATCTTTAAGGTCCGTTCCAACCCAAACCATTCTGTGACTCTAACAGTGATTTCTAACTCTAAGTGAAATGAATTGGCTCCCCAAACCCAAGGTAGTAAGACAGATTTATCCATATTCCTAGACTTACTATCATCATCCTCTAAAATTTCACTTTTCCAATGCATTTTAGTTCAAGTCAGGATTAAGTTATCCTTATATCATATTCTTACTTATTCTTAAAATAGGAATGTGAACTTCTAGAGAGAGGAAATGCTATTTTATTTGCACAATGTCCTTAGAGGTGTACATTACATGTATGTTAACACAATTTTATTTGCAATTTTTAGTTAATCAGAAGTCTCAATTCACATTTCAATAGTATTATCGTTTGTATTGCACTGATTCAGGCTGGGAATTCAAAGGCATTAAAGAAACACTAATTCCAAAAGAGGTACCTCTTCTATCCACTCACTTTAAGAGCATCACATTAAACATCATGGATCCTCTAAGCTTGCTAGCAAAATAAATTAAAAAGTAACTGGAATGATCCTTCAATTGTATATAGTCACCTCCAAAACTCCACTTAAGATCAAAGTCAGTTTACAATAAAACAAAGGAATCAAAAGCAGACTTTCACCAGAGAAATAATGTCATGTTCCTTCTCCTGTTGCACTGAAGAGGCAGGTACTACCTGAGGAGGTTAAATGCTCAACATAAATTTCACAAAAAATAGAAGTGTTGTGATTGCATCTGCAGGTCATCTTTAACAATATTAGGATGAAGGAAAAAATAAAAATGAGGGCAAGAGAGCATGAGCTATACATGGTCAAGATCGATGATGAGAAAAGCATATTCCTAAATGTAAAGCTCAAAGCACACACAACCCTTGTACAGCAAATTCCATCCACTCACCCCCAAAATCTTACTTGGCTCTAGAGTCAAAAAAATTCAGTCATGAAAATCTGGAACAAGCCAGAAATAGCAGAATAAAAATTACCAAACCACAACCATGAGGAAATTACTTACCATATACAGGAATACCTGTGCACAAGCTAGAATTTTGTATGCAAGCATAAACGTATTGTTTTCTAAAAAGTAAAATTTTGGTATGGACTAAACATACACGTAACAATTCTTCTTAAAAGAAGGCACTTGATAAGATGCATTATCTCCAGTTTCAACATGTCTGATAAGGAGTAAAAAAAGGCATAAATTAGTACTTTAGTTCTTTCAAATGAAACTATTCAGGAATAATAAAGACTTAAAAAATTGGGAACTTAAACACATTAAGTTATTGCATCCACAACAGGATGTTTCATGTATCAAAGCTGGTATCTTAAAAATTTTCTATGGATTATAAAGAGATTCTTCTCAAGTTTTGCTTCAACCTCTCTGGATATCTCAGGAACGTTTGGTATTAAAACTGTTTTATGTCTGACTAAGACAAAGCCTTTAACAAAGCCTTCCTTCAACAGAAGTATTACTCACTGAAATCGATTTCTGCTAGAAAGAATCAGAGCATTACAACTGAGTTTAAGATCTTTAACTCAAAGGCTGTAGTGTCTTAGTAGCAATGGCATTAAATTCCACTTCAGGAATCTTTTACGCTAACAGAGCACTTTGAGGGGAAAAAGTCTTGCAGTTTAAGAGAATCCTTAAACCAAGGGCAAGTCAAACAAACACACCACCTTTTAGTTTGCTTTAGCACACATTCAAAAAGGAGATGACAAACAACTTTGAGCTGTCATCTACAAATTAAATGCTAGTAACATTTAAATATACCCTGAAGACACTTCAATAGTTGTAGGCCAATAGGATTAACTACAATGGCAAAAAGGGTTTTGTGATCTGCTTAACAGCATGCATGTCTTACAGAAAATGCAGTTTTGAAAAAGTAATTTACTAAAATCCACAGTACAGAACACGCGATATTAGAAATTCAGCACTATGAAAAGATGATTATATATGCATGTGCCAGATACTGGAAGTGGAAATTCGGTATGAAACTCTAGTGATAAAATCAGACCAAACTCTAAATTCTGTATCATAAACACTAGCTTAAGGTCATATGAAAAATGAAGAAAACATGAAATACAACTGTGTCTGTCTGTACTGAACATCTGTCCGTAGCAGAGCTGTTACAGGCATCTTTGGGAAAGTTAAAAACAGATGTTTAAGAACTGAAGCAGAAATCAAATGAGATCTCTAATTTGCAAGCACTTCTGCATGGCTGATTACAGTGCTAAAGAAGTGAACCTTGCTATATCATTACCACTACTCTGAATAACATTCAAATCAACAAAAGAAGCAGAATAGATCTTACACAGTATTCCTTAAGAATATAAGAACAAAAAATTTGTTGATTTGGAGAAAGTTATATTCTTACAGGATACAAATAGCAGTAAGTGTAAATTCTTCCAATTATAATTAATTCTACATTGTGTTTGCAATCATTATTATGGGATACATGTAACTAAATAGATATGTATTCATGGAATAACTCCTCAGTGATTTTTCTTTTAATATGTTTAAGCCAAGTTAAAACACTTCAGAATATTATTTTAAAATTATTATAAAAGCTGAAATCAAAGTTTCAAGCTTGCATTAATAGACACTGTAGTCACAAATGAAGGAAAACAGTTCACTGTAGGAAACCATTACACCTAGGTGCTGCAGCCTCAATCTCTGTAACAGAAACAGTTACACATTTTAGTTTGTTTTCACACTACAGGACTCAAAGGAGTAGAAGCTGTCATCTCAGTACTGGAATGAAGATAAGGGATGCTAGAGTAAAAATAAAACATCTCCTGTGTCAAAGTAAAATAAAGAAGCAGTAGACTTGTCTATTCCTGAATCACAAGCTACGCTTTATTAAATAAGCACAGTGCAGATCCGACTACATCCAAGTTCTACCTCCAAAACTTGATATTTTGCTCTTCGTTTGGGTGTCCTTCATATATTTCACTGTCGTACTCTGGAGGGGTTATTTTTATGTCTGAAGGGAGAAACTTAATATGCACATTCAAATTAAATTCCACTGCAACTGAAATACTTACCTTGACAAAGCAGGAACTGGTACTCCTCTTGCTCGAATAGATGGTTTTCCACGAACTACTGGAACTTCTGCATTTTCTGAACCACCATTTAAATATGTTAACTCTTGAAGCTGTGCCTGTCTGATTTCATCATTGTAGTCCTAAAACAGGGGGCAGAGCGAGAAAAAACCCAATTGTTTAACCACCACACCAAGTTAGTTTCAGCAAACACTGCTCCTGAAAGTTTCCTCTTAAAGAGTTGAATATCCCATTTGAAAAGTTTAATATGCAAAATATGATAAACATATTATTCTGTGAAAAATTTATGAAAGAAATCTATATATTATTGTAATAATATTGTAATTTTTACTCAGACATTTTTATTTCAATACTCCATATTACCGCCGTATAGGGTTACCAAATAAAATGCAAATGTTAAAATGCTGTAGATAGGGGGAAACAAAAACAAAAAAAATTAAGGTCCCATTTTGGAGCAGAGACCTGGATTGTAGTTCCCAGTGGAGAATGGTAGTGTCTTAAAGGCAGGAAAAATTGCATTGCCTTGTAATGCAAAGCAATACAGAATAAATACATTTCAGATAACAGCCCCTGACAACTATGGAATAGAATAGACATCTAAATTTTTCAAATCAGGAGTTAAAGAATAAACAGTGCAACTTACTTGATACACACATGCACTATTATCTATTATTAAGAGCTCAAAAAATTTCAATTGTAGAACATGCAAGGATAAACAATTTGAAGACACAGCTTGTTTCTTATTCTGCCCAAATGTTCTCTCAAGCTCTATCAAAAGCAAGCTGAAGTTACTTACATGGAATATATGCTACTTCTCAAATACAAAAGAGTCTTTTCAGGGACCTGGAGCCAACCTCTAAAATTAGCACATTACTAAGAAATAAAATAGACACAGCAATAAACTTGAGTTGTGCATGTATTTCTGCCAGTCTTCCTCCACTTAAAGTGACCTAAAGTATGCACCTATAAAGGTGAATCAGAAATAGAAATAAATTACTTCATCTGCATATGTACACACTAAGTATTAAAATATAAATAGGTCCCCTAATAAAAGTGAAGTGATACTTAGAAACATAGAAAGGTTTGGGTTGGAACGGACCTTAAAGATCATCTAGTTCCAACCCCCCTGCCATGGGCAGGCACACCTTCCACTAGACCAGGTTGCTTCAAGCCTCATCCAGCCTGGCCTTTCCTGTTATCTAATCTAAATCTCACCACTCTCAATTTAAACCCATTACCCCTTGTCCTGTCACTACAGGCCCTTGTAAAAAGTCCCCCCCAGCTTCCTTGTAGGACCCTTCAGGTACTGGAACTTGCTATAAGGTCTCTCCGGAGCCTTCTCCAAACTCAACAAGTCCAAATATCAACTTTTCATCATAGGAGAGGTGCTCCATCCCTCTGGTCATCTTCATGGCCTCCTCTGGACTCTCTCCAACCAGTCTATATCCTTCTTATATTGGGGATTCCAGAGCTGGACACAGTACTCCAGGTGGGGTCTCATAAGAGCAGAGTAGAGGGGGAGAACCCCCTCCTTCAACCTGCTGGCCACACGTCTCCTGATACAGGATACGGTTGGTTTTCTAGGCTGCCAGCGCACACTGATGGCTCATATACGGTTTTTCATCCACCAGTACCCACAAGTCCTTCTCCACTGAACCTGTATTTGTGCTTGGGATTGCCCCTACCCAGGTGCAGGACCTTGCACTTGGCCTTGTTGAACTCCATGAGGTTGGCAGTGGCCCACCTCTCCAGCCTGTCCAGGTCCCTCTTGATGGCATCCCTTCCCTCCAGCGTGTCGACCACGCCACACAGCTTGGTGTCATTGTGAAACTTGCTGAGAGTGCATGCAATTCCAGCATCCATGTCACTGACAAGAATATAAACAGCACCAGTCCCATTATCAAACCCTGAGGAACGCTGCTTGTCACTGGTCTCCACTCAGACATTGAGCCATTGACCACCATTCTCTGAGTGTGACCAGTAAGTCAGGTCTTTATCCACTGAGTACTCCATCCATCAAATCCATGCCTCTCCAATTTAGAGACAACAATGTTTTGCAGGACAGTGTTGAACACTTTGCACAAGTCCAGGTAGATGACATCAGTTGCCCATCCTCTATCCACCAAGGTCATGACCCCATCATAGAAGGCCACCATGTTCGTCAGGCACGATCTGCCCTTGGTGAAGCCATGCTGGCTGTCACCAATCACATTGTTTGCCATGTGCCTTAGCATCGTTTCCAGGAGGATCTGCTCCATGATCTTGCCAGTCACAGAGGTAAGATTGACTGGCCCATAGTTTCCCGGATCCTCTTTTTTTTTTCTTTTTAAAGATCGGGGTTATGTTTCCCCTTTTCATATCAGTGGGAACTTCACCAGACTGCCATGACTTCTCAGATATGATGCCCAGACATTTAGCAACCTCATCTGACAGTTCTTTCAGGACCCGCAGATATATTTCATCAGACCCATGGACTTGTGCACCTTCAGGTTCCTCAGGTACTCCCAAACATGATCCTCTCTAACCATGGGCAGCTACTCCATTCTCCCAGTCTCTGCCCTTGCCTTGATCATATAACAGGTCTTAACTTCTGCAAATCCTCCCATTTCAAAGGCAGGAGTATGTCCAAATGCTCTCTACTTTTATATTTCAATTAGAAAACAAAGGATCTGCATCTCTTAGTGGAAATCTGATTCTATTCCATTTATGCACTCAGCAGTTACCAAAAGTCTGCCAGTCAGACTTCCACCAGACAACTCACTGAAATGTAACTTCATTGAAAGAAGATTAAAACATCTATGAACTTAAAGTTCTTGATTATTCTTGAAATATTCTGCTTCTCCTAGCTTCTACAAACAGAAATGTTTTCCTTTACATGCCAGTGTTGAAGATGCTTAGTACTGTTAAAAAAGTGGCACTACAAAGGCATTTTGTCCAAAATATTTTAAGTAGCTCTGAAATTTAACTCACAATTGTTATAGAATCATAGAATGGTTTGGGTAGGAAGGGACCTTAAAGATCATCTAGTTCCAACCCCCCTGCCATGGGCAGAGACACCTTCCACTAGACCAGGTTGCTCAAAGCCTTATCCAGCCTGGCTTTGAACACTTCCAGGGATGGGGCATCCACAGCTTCTCTGGGCAACCTGTTCCAGTGCCTCAGCACCCTCTCTGGGAAGAACTTCTTCCTGATATCTAATCTAAACCTCCCTGTTTTCGATTTAAACCCGTTACCCCCTGTCACTACAGGCCCTTGTAAAAAGTCCCTCCCAGCTTCCTTGTAGCCCCCTTCAGGTACTGGAAGGTGCTATAAGGTCTCCCCGGAGCCTTCGCTTCTCCAGGCTCAACAAGCCCAACTCTCTCAGCCTTTCTTCATAGGAGAGGTGCTCCAGCCCTCTGAGCATCTTTGTGGCCTCCTCTGGACTCACTCCAACTGGTCTGTATCCTACTTATGTTAAGGGTAAACATCTATCCATCTGAGATCATCCTCTGTGTAGCAGCATAAACAAACACGCAAACAAAATGATGAAAAAAGTCTCGAAGACTGACTCAACCTTTTCAGACTGCCTAATTGAAGCTTTTTTAGTAACAGATTCCATCATAAAACAGGTTGGAACCAATACACAGCCAAGTCATCACAGGGAGTAAAATAGAAACAGGCCACTGAACACTACTTTGGCCAACTACTGTACAGAAACTTACTTTATATTTGCACTTTGTTGCTGGACCAGATCTAGCTACAAATGCAAAATTCTATGCCATGTAAGGAACAATGAACTTTAATCTTGAAACAAAATGCTAACAAGTTGTTAAAACTCTACCACAAACTCAACACTTAGGTTTCAAGTTTGGACATAGTACATATCAGTGTTGCCTTGTGTTACATCTCCACAAGACATCCTCCTCAGAATTGGACTCCCAGAAAAATACCTTGGATCATCATTTGATATGAATTTCTTTTAATTTCTTTACAAAGACTTGCTTCAGTTACTACTGTATATGTTGTCTTTTTTTTTCCTAACACTTTCATTCTCCTGTAGCATATTATTAGACGTACCAGCAGCCTCAGTAATAGACAAGGACTCCACTGCACAAAAGCGCAGAGCAGAAAATATGGTCCTTGTCGCATATGCCAGAGGCAGCAGGAAGATAAAATGAAGAGGTAGTACAAGGAAGTGGCAATACAACTAGCCATGATAACCAACAGTGTTAATACATTAGACGCTGAAATGGATTCTTCAGTTAAAAGTAACAGATGGTCAATTTATGAATTGGATAAAAGCACACTTCAAGTCAAAGATCCTTCTGGATGGCATCCCTTCCCTCCAGCGTGTCGACTGCACCACACAGATTGTTGTCATCAGCAAACTTGCTGAGGGTGCACTCAATGCCGTCATCCATGTCACTAACGAAGATGTTAAACAGTACAGGTCCCAACACCGACCTCTGAGGAACACCGCTCATTACTGGTCTGCACTCAGACATTGAGCTATTTCCCACCACTCTCTGAGTGTGACCGTCCGCTCACATTCTGCTTGCCATGGGCAGGGACACCTTCCACTAGACCAGGTTGTTCAAAGCCTCATCCAGCCTGGCCTTGAAAACAGCCAGGGATGGGTTTGAGTTATAACAATTGTTTAAAGGAAGGAACACCGCTGCAGCTGCTTGAGGCTAAACTTCAATGCAAAGGTGCTTGTTTGTGGATCTAAAAAGATCTGAGACAAGAGGCTATGTTATTTTTGCTATAGTCAGCTACTACAAGGGTATTTTGTATCCTACATTCTAGCACCAATTGTGATTGTATATTCAGGCTTGATCTGAAAACAGAACAATGACCATATTCATAAATTAGGAGCAGCATCTAAAGTTGTTGGAAATATAGTCAACTTACAGTATAAAGAGAACACAAATTGAGATCATAATCGTATATACTGATAGCAGGACTTCTTAGTTGAAATAAAACTGATAATGTAGTACGAAAGTCACAACAGACCTTATAGAAAATAAAACTCAAGTTTCATTTGGCAGCAGTTAACCCAATGGTTCTAAAGAGGACAATGTGCTTCTTATTGCTTCCTGGAGTGACGGATGCAAGGAGGAGCAGGGCAGCAGAAGAGATTAAGGCATTTAGAACCATTCTGATAAGATTACATTTGAAAAGCCAAAGGGAAATTAAGACAGCGTTGGTTTGATCCCACAGTTAAGAAAAGATTATGTAGCATCAGTTCAGCTCAGTACAATAAAGATGCAGTGATCAAAAATTGAGATGGAAAAGTATTCCACCAATGAATGGAATTGCTCATTATCAGTCTTTAATTCTACTGTCTTTGCAGCAGAGTAATGACTAGTTTTGATAAGCTTACTTCATTTATTATGATATTAGGTGAATCAAGCTCCATGAAGAGAAATAATATCTCTGATGAAGGGGGTAGGAGAATCAGACATATCTTTACATCCAGTGCATGCAAAAAACACTTAACAAATTGAGCATATTTTAATCTAAAACCAGCTGTTTGCTTACCAGAATAGCAAGAACTTAATTCTCCCTTAGCTCTTCACACAATCAAATCATGAACTGAGTAAATACAGTAAACTCTGACATTATGACAGCCCAGCATTCTGACAAATATTCTGTTCAGTATCCCCTACCTAATTAGTTAGGGTGTTTGAACAGCAGTATGTTTATTTAGCTCCTCATATACATCAAGAAAAAAGCTATTTGGAATCTAAAGCCAATTATGATGTGGTGCTAACTTCTTTATAATAGAACATAATGCTCAGATCGTTTAGGGGATGTGGTTGAACTTTCTTAAGATGCATCCACATTAGTGTATTATTTCACATTAGATGCCTCCTGATGATCATTACTTACCACACTTTGGTTCAAGTCATGGGGTGCTATTTGGGCATATGAACTAGTTTTCTTTCAGACAAGAACAAGACAAAAGAAACACGCAAGGAGCACACAATTAACTCCAGGTACTTGGCAACTTGGTTTCGTGAATCTAGACTAGAGTTCACACCAACAAAAACCCCCAAAGTGCCTGCACTAAGTATTGTCAGGTCATCAGCACCAGCAGCTTCACTCTAGAATACAGCTGGCAGCTCAACTCCCAGCGGGATGTAGTGACTATACAAGCATCCCCAACTGGTCCTGAACACAGCTACACTGACTACAGACTCTCAAATATTTATGTGATGCTGTCACTCTGTCATACCTTAGTGAAGTTTCCTTAGCCACATCTCCCACGTTTACCAAGATCTGATGTTAATCAAGAATAACACATGGATAACATTTTCAGAAGTAAATATGAGCAGAAATCAATGCACGTTGAGGACGCTTTGCTATCTGTCTTCAGTCATTCTAACCAATAAAGACAGAACATTCACTGAAGGGCTAATACAGTTAGGAACTTCACACATAGTAAGATCACCTCAAATGCCCAGCTTCTTAAGAGAGCTTGGACTGTTCCAAGCAATTTAATGCAAAACAATTCAGGCTGGTCCTTACATGAGAAGCAAACAAGGGAATATTCTGTATAAATGACTGTATAAAGTCACTGGAAACCCTGCAACACCACTTTCTATACACACCCCAAACCTGGAGTACAAACTTATACTGGAAATCACATCTCATTTTATACATTCACACATCGCAAGTTGAAGAACACACCAGAAAACAGGTATAATGCACGCATCACTAGTTTTGTGAAAACAATAAAGCTACAAGATAAAATTGTATTGATTCTCAGCACTGAACACCAAACCAGGATTATGGGTGTGAACGATACTACAACTTCAAGTTTATTCTTAGTGAAACAGAACCCTTATGCCGATGCTCCACCTGTACCAAGAACGCAAAAAAGCCCTAGCTTATTTTTCCATATTTACAAATAGCTGTAAAAATCTGTAAAACTCAAATACATCGCACAACCAGTTAAGCAGGAACAAGTTGCTTTTTTACTATAGGTCATATAATGAGGTGAAAATGTATGTGCATTCTCCCAATAACTATCTATATCAGAATGAAAAATATATGTAAACATAAGTCCTTTCACAGCTGAAAAATTACACAATGTGACCTGACCAATATCATACACTGTTGTTTTCAAAGAAAATTTCTTACTCAAGACTCTTAGAATTCTTACCAAAAATATTAATACTCACAGGGATGAGGAACTTCTTTATCTCTTCCAGTGCATGTCCCATTCTGGCATATGCTTCTGCAGGTGGAGCAAATACTTCAATTAAAACATGCAGGTCATCATTTAGGTGGAAGTACTTTGCCTCTCCACTTTTTCTCAACTCTTCCTCCTAGGAGATAAGAAAGAAGTTAGGGGTTTTCTAGCCTTCTTATTTTAAACATATTATAATGCAAGTATTAAAGTTGTTCCAAAGGCATCTGCACATACTGTTTACTCACATTCAGATGCCAACAAAAAAAGTATAAAATTACATACTTCATTGATACAATTTAAACCAATCATGTTGCTAAAATATCAGAATAATATGTTTGCCGAACAACACTAAGTGACTAGTAACAAAATAAGACCCACCAGCTTCTGCTCACATACACAAACTGTTGCAGAAGGGAGAACATTCCCAGTTGTTTTCCCAAGTGCACCAGATTCACAGAGAAGACACTCAGAAACATAAGTGAACTTGAAGCTTCTTTTCTCAAAAGTAAAGTTGTTAGAAACAGGTTTGATCTAATATTTCACAACAGCACGATTCTTTATTCAATGATTTCAATCTCTTCTTTGTATTGTTGCACAGTTTGTACTTATTTATTTTCTGTTCTCACTGAGATTTTTACACCATGAGTACATCCTTCACAGAACTGTGTAACCTGGACATGAAACTAACAGTTCAGCATATGAGACAGGGAGGAGAACATTAGGAAAGGAAAAAAAAATTATTAACTGGCTATTTCAGAACAGAGTTTATTTTATTCTGCTTCACCCAACTCACTTCAACATGACTGAAAAACTGTGATTTCAATGTAGTGGAACAGAGCTCAGTTCTCTCAAATACTTGATATCACATGAAAAATGTTCACAAAGCTAAAGGATATTTGGGACTCTCAGAAAGGCTTCCTGCCCCCACCATGTGCTTGGTGCATTTCAAGAGGCTAAGCCACCATAAAAAACAATTCAGTTATATTTCAAGGTAACATTGTATCAAATTCTTAGCAGTACTTTTATCTAAAAACCAAAGCCTTTAGAATTGTCCCCTGCTGCTTATTATATTTAGCAAGCACCAGGTAAGTACTTCATCTTTTAGATTACCAAAATTATATAGTTTCAATGATAGTTGAAATTTCCACCACGCACACCCCTTAATTATGGGTTGAGGTTTATAAATTACAATATGTTCCTGCTTCTCATAAATACTGTTGTCAGACTTCATTTTGACTTTGGGAATATTTAAAAAAAAAAAAAAAAGCGTGAATCTATTTAACTGTTAGAGCATGCACAGCAAGCACACTATGAGGCCAGTGTCAGCAGGATTAGACTTTATCAGCAAAACCATTATCTTGTCAATACAAACAACAGATCTTAGAAATAGGAAGTAAATTAACATAAATGTCACAGCCCAAACATGTAGTGTTAATAGGAACTCTTTCTCACTTAAATACTTAAGCTCAGTTATTCATGTATCATCATCTACCATAGGAAGATAAATACTTTCAGTAGTGTTCCCCATATACTCTTCCCCTTTTTCAAAGGGAAAAATCACTGTGCAGTTAGATGTGCAGAAAATCGAAAATTAAGAAAATTCATTTCTGTGGTAATCAAACAGCTTGCCTGGGAATACCAGTGAGCAATAGAAACATCACAATTCCACGTGCAATAGAGAAAAAGGATTCTAATCGCAGTTTTAACAAAACATGAAAGATATTTCAGAGTGCAGGTTGCCCTAAAAAAAATAAATTCCCATAAGTAAGCTTTAACTTCATCCTTCCTTCTTTCTTCACTTGCAAAAGTTCACTCTTCTCCCACCCTCCCCCCCTCCAATTCTGTAACATACTATTCTTTACAGTTCTTCATAAATCATAGAATGTTATGGGTTGGAAGGGACCTTATACATCATCTAGTTCCAACCCCCCTGCCATGGGCAGGGACACCTTCCACTAGACCAGGTTGCTCAAAGCCTCATCCAGCCTGGCCTTGAACACTTCGAGGGATGGAGCATCCACAGCTTCTCTGGGCAACCTGTGCCAGTACCTCACCACCCTTTCCAAGAAGAACTTCTTCCTGATATCCAATCTAAATCTCCCCACTTCCAATTTAAACCCATTACCCCTTGTACTGTCACTACAGGATCTTGTAAAAAGTTTGCCCCCTGGTTGCTTGTAGCCCCTTCAG